CCCTAGGGCGAATGAGTCTCTTGATCCGAATATCTATCTGTTGTTGCTGTGGTTTGTCTGGAGGCGGTGGATAGCTGTACAGCACCACCTCTGAGCTAAGCTTGGGTGTTGCCAGGCATCCCCAGCCACAGTCATGACGACAGTCACTCCGACCACCACCACCCTCGCCCTCACCAGTCCCACCAACAAACCCAGTCATCCGGCCCCCATCGAGACCAGACGACCACCACCAACCGAAAACCGAAAACCGAAAACCGAAAACCGAGAGTGGTCAACAGCCAATAAAAACCAGACACCCTTCACCTCATCAGCACACGAACCATACCCTCATCTATTCACAACCATGGCCTGGCCTATCTCCCAAAAACCAAACTCAAAAACCACTCACAGATCGAGCCATCATCAGCACCTCGAGGATGACGATGACGAGGATGATGCCCAACTGCTTCTGCCAACTGGCAATGGGATCACCCACAAACGCATCCAACGTGTCAAACACTCCCTCTCCTACATCATCATCTCCGGTGCGGCCTCTTTCGCACTGGTCATGATGGTCTGGCTCGGCCCGGGCCTCGTTAGCCGGGACCCAAAGGGGATCGCCACCCAATCCAACGCACACGTCGGCTACAGCGAAGACAACAACACTCCCACCGGGAAACCCATCATCCCTGTCTCAGCCAACTCCAGCTCGAGGCCTCAGCTCTCCGTCAGCAAACTGCCCGCCGACAGGAAACCTTTGCCCCACCATTCCTGGAACCCGCTGCTCTACGACCCCGCTCCCATCACTCATGTCTTCATCAAACCATGCATGTTCCCCCCCTGGGCATTCAAGACCTTCTGTACCCCTCACCAGACCGCCAGGGAGATCGCCCTCTACGGCAGGTGGGTTCGCGTACCTCGAGACCTGAGCAAAGGTGTTGGCCATTACTACACCGAGATCTACTACCGTCGCGCACAAACTCTTGACCTCTCCTCACTCGACCCCAAGCCAATCACCGGCCTACAGATACTGGATGAAGACGAAGAGAATGACCCGGTCATCAAGGCCAAACTAGCTCAGCAGGGCTGGCAAGTCGCCGGGGAGAGTCTCAGGACAGGGATCTGGCCGGCCAAGGTCAAGGATGCCAAGCTCTGGTTCACCCGTTCGCCCACCTTCAACGGCACCGACCGGATCGTCCAACCCATCAACGAGATCAGCGTCCTCTGGAGTCGCAAGTCCGACCTCACACCACCCTGGTGGGGCTTCGAAAGACTCAATAAGCCGGTCTTCGAGGGTGATAACCCCATGAATCATATCCAGTGTGACATCGCAGTCCGTCGTGAGATCGTCGAACCCGCCACTCCTCCCCGACTCGCTTTCCAAAAAGATGGCAAATTCAAAATCATGCAGGTAAGACTGCTCACATTTCTGCCAAAAGAGTGGCACCTTAAATTAAATGGCTGGAAACTCTTCCTTTAGATCTCTGACTTGCACTTTAGTGCATCGGGCGGTGAATGCAAATCAGCAAGTGAAATCAAGAGCTGCGATAAGGATGGAGCGGATGCTACGACGAAGGCATGGCTCACTAAGGCGATCGCTCAAGCTCGACCGGACTTGATCGTCCTAGGAGGGGATCAACTATTGGGCCGGGGCAAGACCTTCGACACGATCTCAACCCTGACCAAGCTCGGCCATTTCTTTGCGGATCAAAAGGTTCCATGGACCGTCGTCTTCGGCAACCACGATACCGACCGCTCTCTGGCTATCGAGGAACAGATGTATCTCATGAAACATATGCCCCTCTTCCTTGGTAGAGCTGGCCCTGGCGTCCCCGGTTTCCCAGAAGAAAACCTTGTTGCAGGCGATAGAATCTCTGATATGGGCGTTGGCAATTACATCCTCAGAGTCAATGCTAGTCTCTCTGACCCCACCCAGTTACTCAGTCTCTACTTCCTCGATTCACACGTGAGTCCTTTTTTTTTTTTTCTATCGGTCATTGTCTTTCCTTTCTTTCTTTCCTGACAAATGTTGGGGGTCATTGGTTGTTTTGTTTTCTAGGATTATCCGAGCAGCACGTTATCACAAATATGGGATATGGCGATGGGAGGAAGTAAGAAGTACGACTGGTTAAAGAAGTCACAGATTGAATGGTACAAGGCAGAATCGAGTCACCAGCCGCGAGTATTGCGGCCATATGAGACGAGCGCAGGGTATCGAGACCGAGCGCAATCGAAGGAGAACGAGGGGAAGAAGACCAAGCCAGTCGGACTCATGTTCTTCCACATCCCTCTCCCAGAGGCCTACGCCAAGGCTGATCTTAACCCGAAGTCTCGCGCCGAACTCCTCTTCGGCAATCAGAGAGAAGGCCCCCTGAATGCGGAAGACGGCGATCAGTTCTTCACTAATGCTATCCGCACTACATCTATTTCTGACGCGCCTTCTAATTCAACCTCCTTCGAACCGGAGATTAAAGTGATCGCTAATGGTCATGCCCACGTTAGTTTTTTTCTTTTCGCCCTTTTTTTTTTCTTCATGAAGAGAAATTATTAACCAAAAACAAATAATTGATGGTTATGATATCTTAATACATACAGGCCACGGATACTTGCCGACAACATCAAGGAGTATACCACTGTTTCTCAGGCCTATCGTCGTACAGTGGGGCCTTAGATGTCAAAGTGGCAAGAGGATGGGAGCGAAGAGTACGCGTGTTTGAGGTCGAAAACTTTGGAGAAAAAGTGTCGACTTATCAGCTTAAACATTCGCTCGGCTCCGACGATCATCCGGTCGTCAGACTCGGCTCTCACATCTTGTTCGACTCCAAGTCGGGCTCAACTTGAGCACTTCCTCCTTCCTCATTCTACAACCAAACCCCCGCGAACCTTTTCTTGTTCATTTGTTCTCTTACCTTAGATACCCTTCAACAAAAGTTGAATCAATTTTTTCTTCTTCTCCTGTCTATCATCATCATCCTATTACCACTCCTATTTGCTTGAGATGGTTTCTTGTTCTTGTTGTTGTTTGTAGTGATACAAAATAAAAATTAGATGTGCATGGATTTATCACTTGTACAACAAAACCAAACTCTCTTGAAAATTTTGTTTCTCTCTTGTTTCATCAATTTGTCTAGATTTTGCTCCTCATATGTACATAGAATATATATCCATATCAATAGGCCTTCTCAAATAAGCTGCCCATTTTTATACACTCACTCACTCACTCACACACTTACATGCAAAAGGGACAAGCACATTGGATGATTAAGTACAGATGAGTGGGAAAAAACACGTCAACAATAGATGAATGGTGTCACACATTATAGCTCTTGTTCTCCTTGCCTTCTTTCACACTTTTTTTCTTTTCTCTTTTTGAAATACAACCAAAAAAATCAAGATTCACTTGGAATGTGGTGATGTGATGTGCATACAAAATGTACTGTACATATTGTTAGAGTGTTTGAAATTGAACACGGTTGTCAATGGCAAAAAGGGACCCTGGATTGGGAGGGTTGTCTGTCTTTTTGGGCCTACAATTCAAAAATTGACCGGTTGATGCCATTGGTTGGTGCTTATAATCATGAACCCTTCACACTTGTGCAAGTCTGAAATTGTAGTAAAAAAAGGGCATTCAGTGGATTGAATTTGAGCCCCCCTCCCCCCAGGCCTGGATGTCAACTTTGATTTTTGCAGGTGGGACAGACTGGTTGGATTTTTGCTGGCCACCACTGTATGGAGTTTGGAGGATAAAAATGTGGAAGCATTGGCTGGGACCGGCCAGCATACTTGTACTGGAAACTCAAATCAACAGGTCCAGGAAACACTGCTGTGGGAGACTTTATGGGTGGCCATCTGAACCGATTCAAACATTTATAGTTTCTTGTATATACATTAAGAAATCAGGGACACATGTCACCCCTCCACTGCCAGGCCATGTAATCTGGCATCTGTACATATCAATCAAGTACAATGGAAGTATACAGGAACAGCATACAGCTTGCCTAGGCAACCTGTCATGTGATGTGTACAGCCCCAAAATACAGGATGGAATCATTGCGGCTTGACAGCACATAGTCTGCAGGTTGCTAGGTTGCATAGCAACCATTGCACAGCTTGTCAGCCCGGCAGAAACCACTCAACTTCTCACATCACATCATGTAGGCTGTGCCTGTTGAATTTCCACTGAATATCACACTCAGATCATTGGTGCGGCAGTGCTTGATCTGCAGCAAATGATGAGAATTAAAGTTTCAACCGCTTAGGTTTGGGGATTTCATGATTTAAACATCACTGGTACTGCTCTCTGTAAACTCAGGGTGCAAATGGGTTGGGGCAACCCAAAGCTGACCCAAGACCCAACAGGTCATGGGTCGGGTTTGGGCAGAATTTGTGAGAAAAATCACATGACCTGAACCCGGCCCAGAAACCCAGCGGGTTGGGTTTGGGCAGGTAAGTTTTTATCATATTTGCTCTACAAAGGCTATATCACTCAGGTCGGCCCAAAGCCAACATGAATACTGCGGACCCAAACCCAACAAGTACCAAGACGGGTTTGGGTCTGGGCAGCATGTATTCAAGTTTGACCCAACCTGACATAGGCGTCGGGTCAGGTTCGGGCACTGTTTTTGGGCCTGAAGCCAACCTGTTTACATCCTGACTGTAAACCTCAGACTCAACAAGATACTCAACCTCTCAACTTGCTCAAGATCAAGATCCCATCCGCTTTTCTGACTATCTTGCTCAATCAAGACCTAACCATGTAAAGTTCTGACTGCTCACTGCTCTTTGTCACAATCTTGCTCACTTGGTCTCTCCCCTGGCTCTCATCAAGATTGATCCTTGAAACATTCAGGAATCTATATATAGTAGAGATTTTGACTCTGAGGCTGGGGGGAACCCCTCCCAGCCTTGAGCCTCCGGGCCAGGTTGACTGGAAGGGTTTCCCTCCATTCAACAAGGATGTACCTAGTTGATCAGAAGGGTTTGGAAACTGTTGAATTTTTCTCAGTTCTGTCTCTCTCTGCCCTTCATCTCTTTCTAACCACCTTAAATCAGACTGAAGTTGTTTTTCCGAGTAGCTAGTTTTTGGTTGTTTTCTGAGTCCTCTTTTGAGTCAAATTTGAACCTTAAGAAAATAAGCTCAACTCAATCACTCTTGTCTCTACGGTATTAATTTCTTCTTTTTCTGGTTTATTGTCTAATATCAAAAATTGGTTAACAAGAATTAACACCCCTTGTGATTTGTGATTTAAAATACTTTGTCTTGACTAACTCATCTGGCCTGACTACAAGAGACTGAGAAGTTTTGTCTAGTTTGTTATTTTCAAGAACTTATTTTATCTTCTCTCAGTTTTTATTCAAAAAAAAAAAATTCTTTATTCATTTTTCTTTCAACCACTTTTTGACCACTTGTACCTAGTCTATTTAATCCTGGCTAGTTGCAAGTGAATGAAAATCATCGGTTCTTTCACTCTTTTTCCGTGAACCTTTCCCAAAAGGAAATTCACCTTCTTGGCCCTCTGCCTCCTAAGTTCTTCAGTTTAAAATTTCAACAGAAACCCTTCCAGTCAAGACTCAATATGGGGGCGGTACCCGGGTACCAACCCTTTTTTTTGCCAAGAACCAGCACCTGGCACCGCCTGGCGGGTGCGGGCAGTACCCGCCAAGTGGTACTAGGTGCCTAGCAAAGGGTACCGACTACTATATAGGCACTATCAAAAAGCTTCACATCTGCTCCAACGTGCTGCTTGTTATTCTTTCCTTCCTTAATTGACTCTCTTCTCATTGCTGTTGGTTGATGATGAAATCACTGATCTCATTTTTCTATTTTCATGTTCTTGTTTGTTTTTCTCTTTCTGTCAGCCACAGAGCACCTTTCACAATACGTGAAATGTACCTAGTAGCTGCAAATAATAATAACTCATTGAATACAGGAAAATATTATTCATTGTTGTTAAAATAATAATTAGATAAATATGTATTTACATTTGATCTTGGGCATTAATAAAGAAACACGGTTTTTCCGCGTTTACACACGGTTTTGCTGCGGCACAGCGCACCCCGTTTCCGCGTTCAAACACGGTTTTTAATTAATTTTTTGCCGCTTATTTTTCGAGTTTTTTTGAATTTTGAAAGTTGTTTCCTACACTATAAAAGGCGTAGAATTTAATGGTAAAGACCATTTTGTATAAAAATGAATTTGAATTATGGGCCTTAATAAAAAAACGCGGGTTTTCCGCGTTTTGACGCGGTTTCTGCTGCGCGCAGCACAGGCGGTTTCCGCGTTTAGTAATTAATTTTAAGTTTTTTTGATTTTTTAAAATTGTTTCCTAGGTTATAAAATGGGTAGAATTTAATGGTAAAGTCCATTTTCCATAAAAATGACTTTTGATTATTATTTTTTTTTCCACTCATTTTTCCATTAATTGTATGCATACATGTTTTTACCTTATTTTTTAGGGCATTAATAAAAAAACACGGTTTTTCCGCGTTTACATGCGGTTTCTGCTGCGCGCAGCACACGCGGATTCCGCGTTTACACACGGGTTTTTAATTAATTTTTTACCGCTTATTTTTTGAGTTTTTTTGAATTTTTAAAATTGTTTCCTGGGTTTCAAAGCGTGTAGAATTTAATGGTGAAGACCATTTTCCATAAAAATGAGTTTTAATTATTTTTTTTTTTTCTACTCATTTTTTCCATTAATTGTATGCATACATGTTTTTACCTTATTTTTTATGCTTTTTTAAACTTTTAAATTTAGGGCCTTAATAAAAAAACGCGGTTTTTCCGCGTTTAGACGCGGTTTTGCTGCGGCACAGTGCACGCGGTTTCCGCGTTTAGACGCGGTTTTTTAATTAATTTTTTTTTTGCCATTAATTTCAAGTTTTTTTAATTTTTTAAAGTTGTTTCCTAGGTTATAAAATGTGTAGAATTTAATGGTAAAGTCCATTTTCCATAAAAATGACTTTTGATTATTAATTTTTTTTTTCCACTCATTTTTTCCATTAATTGTATGCATTACTTTTTTTACCTTATTTTTCAAGTTTTTTTGTAATTTTAAATTTATTTCCTAGGTTTTAATGTGTGTAAAATTTAATGGTGTAATCCAATTTCAATAAAAATCAATGGTTCATTTTTAATACGGAAATTAGACACATTTTTTCACTTGAATTTCTACAGGTTAATTTTCATTGTTTTTTTGACATTTTAAATTTGTTTCCCACACTTCAATACATGTATAAAGTTATGGTAAAAATCATTTTGCATCAAAATGAGAGCCACAACTTGTATACTGCAATTTGACACCGTTTTTTCATTTAATTCTTCACTTTTTTCACTTAATTGTTTGCATTAATTTTTATACCTTATTTTTTATGCTTTTTTGAAATTTTAAAGTTGTTTCCTACATTTAAAAGTGTTTAGAATTTAATGGTAACATTTAATTTCCGTAAAACTCAATGGTTCATTCAGAATACTGTAATTGGTCTTAAAATTCAATTGATTTTTAAGAGCTTAATTTTCATTATGTTTTGACATTCTAAATTTTTTCCCACACTTTGAGACATGTTAAAAATGATGGTAACAATCAATTTGCATAAAAATGAAAACTATATGTTGAATACAAATATAAATTCAACAATTCAAAAATGACTTCAATGGGGCTTGAACCTGTGGCAGCGCTTGGAAGTACAAGTATTCCCAAAATGGTATCATTGTACCAAGTTTTATTCATAAACTAGTTGGCTGGCATCACCTCGTTGGATAGTGTCGTGGTGTCCAGGCTGATCATAATCTTGACTAGAGTCTGCCTTGTGCATGGGAATCTGGAGAAATGATTGGTGTATCCCTGTCCGATGATTGGGAGTGTTCTTTTTGGGAGTTTTTTTAATTTTTGGGAGACATTTGAATCAAATTCTCTTTTTATTGTATTTAAACCTAGGAAATAAAGAATTAAATACAAAAACGGTGTCAAATGCAGTATACAAGATGTGGTTCTCATTTTGATGCAAAATGATTTTTACCATAACTTTATAAATGTCTTGAAGTGTGGGAAACAAATTTAAAATGTCAAAAAACAATGAAAATTAACCTGCAGAAATTCAAGTGAAAAAATATGTCTAATTTCCGTATTAAAAATGAACCATTGATTTTTATTGAAATTGGATTACACCATTAAATTTTACACACATTAAAACCTAGGAAATAAATTTAAAATTACAAAAAAACTTGAAAAATAAGGTAAAAAAA